CTTCATTGTCTTGGTCATTGTCCTTGCCACTTTCCTCTTTGGTTCACATGCGCATCTCTGCATCAATCTGCGTCAAGCCACATGCCTCTATGGCTTAAAATGGAAACCAAGCGGTGCGCAAAATTGCGACCAGAGCCTGCACCCCAGACCTCTTTGCATACAGATGCAGGTACACGGCAGTTCTAACGGTCTACCAGCCTTTTAATGCAGCCGGCCCAGAGAGCGAGAATTCTGGTGTGGCGCGGAGCCTGACCATTGGACCAATTCGTGCTTTACGTCATTTGCGATCGAAAGGTGTCCATGAACTGGATTCCTCATATCGGGAAGGTTGTGTCCTGCGCCCCAAATAAGACCCGGCGGAGGACGTTTCGCCAAGGAATATTGGCCTGGCTCATGCATCAGGCGGCGGAAGGCTGCATGTACAGGGTAAGAGATCTGCCTTGTTTGCCTACTTTGCTTTCTCGGAAGAACTCGCGCTCTAGCTAGAGGGCGTGGCTGAGAGGTCCCGTGCAAAGCCGGTTTTCTCTACCAGTCGCACAAAGACTCCCTCAGGCCCTTTTACCGTCGTGTCAGTGCCTAACCAAAGCCATCATCTTGTTCACCGTTATGGCTATTGCTGAGGAACGCGTCATTTTCCCTTCGCTCAGCCATCGTCCCTCTTTGCTCCCCGGTGCTACCAGAGGTCTTTAAAGGAAGGACGTCATTGTACTGAGTGGGGCACCAGTAGGCGGAAATAAAGCTATGAGGGCTCGAAGGTCACGACACTGCTGCTAGCCTGGGGCAAAGGGCTCTTCGGAGGCAGTGCGATCGCTAGGGTGAGGTCAGAGGACTCAGGAGAGGACTGAATGGCCTGAGTAACGACTATCTTATCTGTCCATCCTCTTGAAAGTGATCCTTATAACAAGTCCAAACTGCTCTCATATCCTTCTCCAGGCCGCAAGTTCTACTGCTTCATCAGTCATCTTCTGCACTTCGTCTTTCTCAACCCAGCTTTCTATCATTACTCATCAATCATCACTGCAGTCAACCGAAGCCATGTCTACCTATTACTGCAGCAACTGCGGCGACGGCCCAAACAACACCGCACTGAATCCTTATTGTCCTATGTGTTACACTCTCCAGGACAATGCTTCGCGGTCCAGCTCTCACGACCAAGACGTCATCACATATACGCCACATGCGCATCCAATGCCACTCACTTTTCGCTCCATGGATACCATTACGAACTTCGCAAGAGCACAGGACAACCAACTACACCCGTCTTCTCATGTGGAAAGGTCGTTCAATGCTTGTTCCCATTCCAGCTTGCCTACCGGTAACATGCCCTACACTGCACCTTACAGTCAACGACCTGAGCGCCCACCGGTGTATCGTTGGCAGTGCTGCGCTTGCGGTTCCGACAACAGCTACAGCATGGACCAAGGTTGTGCAACTTGCTGCAACCATTGGAGGAACACATGCTGCCATGTGTATGACGCCGCCAATAATCCGAGTCGCTAAGGTGTCGATGCGAAGCAAGCGGTGGGTTTGGCATGATCAGATTGTTGTAAGTACCGCGCTTGACTATCACAAAAGCAGTCGCTGACGATCGCAGTTCTTCCTTGTGTAGTACCATCCTGGGGTTCGATACTCCTTTGGTGGCTTTGGTTGGCGTCTCTGGTAGATTGTTTGGTCTTTCCCTTTTTATTGTACTTGGTGGGAATTGGTTTCGCTTTATAGTTCGACGGATTGTATTTTGTTTATATCTCTAGCCTTGTTCGTGAACTTCGGCTTCCCAGTACAGGATGCGACATGATATCAATGCATAGCGGTGGCCTGTTGATGCATTCCAGCGTAGCATAGATAGTGTAGTTGCTTCCAATGAAATCGTCAGCAAAAAAACCTTTGTATCACTAGTCAACGACCTCAGTTCATTCTCATGCCATTCACACTCTCACCGTTCGCGCTTGCGCCACCACATAGTGGCACTCAGCGGGTTCCGGTGTCGACCCAGACTGCTGCGCCACTCCAGACTGAGACCCCGAGATGTACCCTGTATGTGTTTAGAAATCCGCCGTTTCACGTGAGATGATACCCAAGGCGGATCTGGCGTCTGAGAGCACTGAGGCATACTTTGGGCCGGGTGTGCGCGAGCGCCGTCGTCATTGCCACCCGCTGCCCTTCGTCGGGCGGTTTGCAAAACGGTCAGCACCCCTGGATGGGCCCGCAGGGCGCAATAAGGCGTGGATGCCCTTGACTTCGTAAACTTTATGTTGACGTCGAGCGATCTTTGGTCAAACGAAGACCAGTTCGTGCGCGACTTTGCCAGTGGGTGGGTGTCTGAGTTGCTCGATTGCGCAATTTGGAGGACGAAGAGGGGCACACTTCTTTGCTTTTTCCAGACCCGGAGTGCGCGCGACGCCTCACGTAATAGGCAGCAGTCGCAAGAAATCCAGCTATAGTCACAAATCTACCTAGGTATGTCCTGGTCAGTTCGTACAAATCTACCTTCGATCACATCGCTGTGTGCCTTGGTACGAAGTCCAGTTCAGCGATGTACAGCAGTCGAGAGATGAGGTTAAAATAGAGACGCAAGCCTTTGGCATACCCCCTGGGTCGATCGTGCGGCTCAACTCTATAACAAGGAACTCGCTACCTGTATAGGGCGAGAAGGATGCAACGCCGCGCGTGCAGGCAATATCGCGTGCGGTGTAATGCATCGCGATGGTGGTGTGCATGCAAATCTGTATGCCTCAGGCTGACTTGACGATGGCTGCCTGGATGTGGGGCCGGCATGCCACAGCCCACATCACCACGTACCCCAAGGATGGGCCATCCTATCTGCGTCAGACTGACGATTTTAAAGTCTTCAAAGTTGAAGCTCGTTCGATTTTCAAAAATCAGAGAGAAGTCGTGTTGTGCGAACTCTCAATGAGGCTGAGCAGAGCTACCTAGGTACAACGGACCTCGAGATCTTTGTGGTACCTGGCCACACGGAGGAGTGGTTTTCTTGTTCCGTAAATGGGGGAGAGTATTGCTGGTTTCATCAGCTTTTCAACCCAACAGCTGTCGTGGTTGTTTGCATTCGTTTGCAGCCGTGGTCATCCGCGAGATTACCAGCCGGCGCGTGGCACACGCGGATCAAAGACGGGGCGGTATTATCCGTACCGGTGTTGGGGAGATCCGGCGATGTCACACGTTTTTACTCTGGTCAATCTGAATAGATCTCCCTTCTTGGACATCTTGCTGTCTGCCTAAGAAGATACTTAGGTATCCTTAAGTAGCTAGAGAGTACCACAACATTCTATCTAGTAACACATCAATTTTCTCGTGATGATAGCTTTCTTGTGTGTCTATACAGCCTCAAAAAACGATTAGCAATCGCATATCATTCATATGACGAACGCGCAATACGATATAGCTTCATTCCTGATGTCACCGAGATATGTAGTGTGGCTCACATGCCGAACTCAATGACATTCATCAATCATACATTGCAGAGTCCTTCTTAGCTACTGTAGTCAAGTGTAGAAATGACTATTTTAATGAACGGCTCTAGCAAATCACTGTTATTGAATAACCAACCTACTGAACGGGGTACCTAACTAAAGTCCCAAGGTCCCTCTCGAGAAGACTACCTATGTACAAATTTGAGCGCGAAGTTCAGAAGAACTCAATTCCATACCGCAGAGACACTGTACCCAGATCGCGAAGAATCCTCTTCCTCAACATGTGAACTGATTGAGACCACATTCACATAATAATTAGCAACATGCTAAATACCGCACATTGGATTATCGGACGCTGACACGCTTAAGAGGACAAAAACGCTATGCTATATCGGTGCAATACTTAAGATGTTTAACAGAACAAGGGTAGGTTGATAAATACAAAGTACAAAATACCTGGGCAGGCATTGAGACCTCGGAACGCAGAGGTTTCGTATCGTTGTGTCACAATAGCACGGGACAGTCCGCGTGAGTAGCTTACCTATGTATGCAGTTGGACAGAAATGTGTCCTGGCGGTTATCCACAAGCCTGTCATAGACAGCGCGCTACCCAGGTAGTCTTTCTGGAATGAGTGGAGGCATCGGGCCGAAGAACAGCGCTTTGGCCGCTCATGAGATAGGCTCACACGGTCACTAGGAACGAAGCTAAACTCTTTGTAGTGCCCTTGATCCAACGTACACAGGCCTGCGAGTTGGTTTTGAAGGTCGATGCGGCTATCACTACTGGTACCGAGCAACTCACGCATCCGAAGTTTGCGGATTCTATTTCGCTCTGGAACGGTTCTCCAGATTGTTCAATGCGGTCACGTTGTCATCGCGGAATTCAAGATATGGGGGAAACATGTATGTCTAAGATAACGTAGTCGATATACATTGTTCTAAAGTACGTAGGTAAGTATGCGTCACCCAAATGTTACGGTTACAGAGGGAAGAGTGGACGAGCACCGGGTCTTGCGGAAAACCAACCAACGGCCGTGTCCGGCATGACAACACCCAGCCCGCGAGGACAAAGCGCTCGGCAAGGAGCACGTGAGCTGTCTCGCAGTCCCACGCGTGTCACACACTAGAGCGCCATCCGCCACAATGGGATTGTCAGGAGTGCCACCACTTCCAGTCAGTAGGACTCACTGAGACCTACGAAGACTCAGTAGGACTCACTGAGATACACTTAGACTCAATGATACTATCTAGGTACTGAGTCACCTCAAGTATATAGCTTAGACACAGAACTGTTATAGTTCAGTGTACTCAACTTCGTCCCCAACCCTAGTATTCGATCTGAAGATTGTACTTCTTTCTCAAGCCCTCGTACTTTTACATCAATCTACCCATCTTGCTACTACGCTAACCCCGTCCATCGCACTCCCTCGTTCCTGAGAACCAACTCTTAGGTCATCTTAGGATAACCTTCACACCAAACTTCAACCCGGCAGTCTTCTCTTCATCTCCTTTCAAGCCGATCCTACTATTGCTTCCCGTTTCGTGCATTCGTTCTAACTACCGAAGATCATCATGACGGTATAACTCAATAGTCGATTTAACTTTTGTCATCCACAATTAATACTTGATATAGATTTTCTGGCAACTTAGCGCCGCTATATATAGGCCCAAAGAAGGCAATTACAAGCACTGGGCTCTCTATTTAAAGCACAAAGATGATTGCTTGATATTCGATGTCAAGGGACGGCACCCTAACTTCCGGCGCAGCGAGCGGCAAGCCAATCCTCGAAACTCTCGCAGCTATATCAAGTCCATCTACCTTGCAGAAGTAAGAGAAGATGATATCAAAGCGTTTAAGGAGGCCGTCGCAGCTACAAAGGTGGACAACGAGACATCAGAGTGGGATTGCCAAGATTATGTACTGGAAATACTGGACAAGCTAGAGGCCGAATGTCTCATAGTAGACGATGACGACGACGGCGACGACGACGACGATGAGGGGACCTATAAGAAGCGGAAGGAGAAGCTTAAGAGCATGCGTGCAGAATACTAAGGCAACAGTATCTAGAATATACACTGGACGCTCTTCTATGTCAACAAATGTTGCAGCGCTTATTTGTTTGTGTTAATAGCTATGCCCGCGCCCAGCTATCTGTCTTTGACCAATTCAACTTTGATTTGCTACTTTACTCTATATGTTTCCACCAGAGAGCGTCTAGCAACCATTTCTGCGTGTTCCGAAGCGGAGAGATGCATTCAGGAATGAATAAGTACCAATCACTGGTTTCGTTCGCGGATAATAAATTCGTCACCTTCGTAGACTCGTAGTACTCTGGATAGAAGCCGGCATACTCCCAGTCAATAATGCCGGTCACGCGACATTGCCCTCCTTCAAGCTTTACTATAATATTTTCAGGCCGAAGATCATTGTGGCTGAGAACATGCTTCTGTGAGAGGGGCGGGCAAAGACTTCGGAGGAATTTGATGTAAAGTGGGCTTCCGTAATGGGGATTAGAGAATTGCCAGTCGTCGAAATCTTCTGTGTTCCAGATAGGGTCGGTTGTGCGGCGAACATCTCTCCTCGCATCTTGGCAACCTTCTCCTGCCACACCTCCAAGTGGCATATTGTCGGGACGGGTCAAAGACCGTACTTCGATGAAAATATCGTTCAGCTGTGCTTGGACTGAGCGTTTAAGGGAGTCGTCTAGTTTTGGCCAGACTGCTTCGAGTGTCGTACCAGGCACAAGCGTCATAAAGACAAGGAAGAATCTACCAAGGCGTACAAGACCGAGTGGCCTTGGCGCAGGAATGGTGGGTTTGTGTTCCTCGAGGTATTGCAGGGTTGTGTATTCGGTCAAGTTGTCCATTTTCGATATAATCTTGAGAGCAATACCAGAGCTGCACTTGAGAACGATCTCGTGTTTGCCAATCTCAGGCTTCCAGACAACTTCGCTCTGCTCAACCAATCTGTGGATACTGCGGGCAAGGGACGATTCGTCATGATCGCTTTCGATAAGGCCTCGGACGGATTCAGAGAGCGGGAAAAGGACTGTGGCTGAGGTATATTCGTGAAGAAAATCTCGAATATCATCAGGAACCAATGAAACATCCTTCTTGAGACGCTTTGTAGGCGGGTCGTTTCCAGAACCTGCTGCAAAGGATTAGGTTTACTTTCAGAACTAAAGCATAGAGATTTGAAGCCCGCGAACCTTCGGACTTTCTTGCAGCAAGCCGATCTGCATACGTAGAAGGAATTTTGGAGGTCAGATCGACTTCTGGATCCGCTTCTAACGCTTTTTGTAGCCTTTTTAAAACCATCCGGTTCAATTGAAAAGCAGCAGATGTAGCTGGAGGGTCCGCGATATCTGTTTCCTGAGATTGAGGAAGCATGGCGTCTGTGTCCTGCGGTGAAGGAAGCATGGCGTTTGTGTCCTGCGGTGAAGGATGCATGGCGTCTGTGTCGCAAGGTGGAAAGAAGTTCGTTTCAGCAATAATTCGGTTAGGTGATTTGGGCTTCTCGAGTTGATAACTGCTGTGAGTCCTCGCAGTTGTTTGCGCTCTCGGTCAAGCTGCGGGATTCCAAGCCGGTACAAGCGGACTAAAAACGGGGCGAACCATCCGCATTGGGCCTAGCAGATGCTCCAAGCTTCGATCAACCTCAGCGCTGTTGGCGCCAACCCTCTTGTTATCTGCGCGCATGCATCACTCAAGCATTGTTCCAACAATGTCGCTGTCTGTGCTTTCATGGCAAGACTGCGATCTTCAGGAGTCGCGCCGTTTATATGTTGACGGTATCTCATGCCTGCGGGTCAGGAAGAACCTTGGAAGACTCAGACACTGTCAAGCCGACAATGTAGCCGTAACTAGTCAGTATTTATCGCTCTCGATAGTCAGGTGACTCCGGGCACGGTCCGGAAGAGCCTGAACGAGAGGCGCATTGGCTTTCGTCAGCCATGTAGGTTGAGTAATACAGAAGCGGGGTATCTTACCACTCTGCTTGATAACCTTAGAATGTTCTTTCTTGTAAGAATACTCCCACGCGACGCGTGACCCGCCAAGCACAAGAAACCGCACATGTGCTAGGTGACCTATACATTGCTCCTAGCTTCCTCAACATCAACATTGCCATCAAGCTGACTCTCGAGACTGCATGGCAAATACGCTAGCGAGTCGAGCAACACAGCCTCGTCTCCTCTACAGTTACATTGCTCAACCACATTTCTACAGCGATCACCATCATCCAGACCGCCAAAATACCCCGGATGGGCCCATTTCCATCGCGTTCACGAGATCGAGTCGTCGAAGTATCCACACCAATAACGACCTGGTGAAGGGCGTTGTCCACGTCAAATCACAAACCAAGGTCAAATACGTCACCATAAGCTTTGTTGGCAAAACGACCTGTCGCATTGCGAGCGAGCGCAATCCTGCAAACCAGCATGTCTCCGAAGTCGAGCTGTTTTGTCAAGAGCAAATGTTATCGAGGAGGGCAACGCCTAGCGCGACCTGTCCCCCTTCGCGGGTAGAGTACCCCTTCGAATTTCGATTCCCAGAAGTAGTACCAAATGCTACGAAGCTGCAAAAGGATGCGCCATTCAGGCCAGATGCTCTGTTTGAGCACGAGGGTGGTCATCCTCTTCCACCGTCGCTATGGTGGAACGAGAGCACGATATGTAACGAATACTTTCTGAGAGCGCAGTTCGTCACGGAGCAAGCTTCATTCACACTTAGTCCTGTTGTTGTGCAGCAACTCCGCTTTAGCCCGTCCGTTCCGGAGCAAGGTCTTTCGCCTACAGCTGCTCTTGTACCAGCACCACCAATACGTTTTGAGCGTAGATCGAGACCATCAACTCCAGATCCATCTAAGGAGCGGCGTAACTCATTGCGACGGCTCAAGTCGGGCTTACGAGGCGGTACTAAGGAAGAGGAGATATCTTCGACGTCGCTGTTAGTACTCAGTGCACCCCCAGAGTATCGCGTTGGTGCTGCCAGCACGATCAAGCTATCACTGCAAGCAACGCTAAGCGACGGCGATACACAACCAGCACCCGTGTATCTTCGTGGCATCCGCGCGCAAGCAATCACACACATCAACTTCCGCGTCCCGCTAGTGTCTGCACCCAATGGAGAGATACGGAAAGAGGGCGTCGAAAAGTTCGACCTCTTCAATCAGCGATACAGTAAACCTGGAATAGAACTCACTTTGGACACCATCTTGGAGGGTTTTGAGATCAACAAGATTGTGCCTCCCACATTCAAAACATACGGTGTCGCACTTCACTACGACGTCAAGTACGACCTCTTGCTCGAATGCGCGGGCAAAGAGTCGGAGCATGAGATTGATGTCGATAATGTGGTTGTTGAGCCCATGACAAGACCTGGTGGGCATCTTGGGCCGCCGGAAGAGATGCCGCCAGTAAGCGGCTCGGATGAGAGCTTCATATTGGAGGAAATGCTTCGGGATAGTGAGCCTGTGGCGGAGCAACCACCACCCTATTACAGATAACATATACGACTATCGTGTCAATCGGACGCTACGTAGCTCCTACGACTATCCATGACAACATGTACTGTGAATGTGAGTAATACAGCGTGCAGCCTTTGGTTACTGGCAACGAACACGCAGCGCGCAGTATGGACAAACACCGCCAGAATGAAGTTCTCCACTTCTTCTTGCGAGAGCCGTTTATGATCGTATCTTCAGTTTCTCGAATACAGGATTAACTTACTGAAACTGTCCGCACTCAGCTTTTGCAACCCAACAGCCCCTAAAGTACCTCCAGCGCATCTACCCCAACATATCTACACCCACTACATTATCTCAGCAATCCTCCATCTCCCCGAAGATGCCCCAAAACCCAGGTCTATACATTTGCCCCTGCGGTATGAACGCGGGCGTCTGGCTCGTTGCCGGCGCGAGCAAATGCTCAATGTGCGGTTGGTCGTGGGGCATGTACGAAGCGGCTCGTATAGCGGACGAGAAGAGGAAAGCTGAGCAAGCTATGGATGGGCATGGAGACCAGAAGTAGTGAAAGCCCCGTGCGAGGGCCTTTTGAAGAGATATGAGCGGGGGAGCTTCTAGGAATGAAATTGGAAGAAACATCCGTGCCTACAAATCAATCACGACACAACTTCACATTATGTAAGGATGCTTTGCAATGATAGTGGGCTATTTCACATACATGCAGTCGTTGGTGCATATGTGGCTCAATTCGTGCATTAGAAAATAAATCTATTCATCGCTGAAAAGTCTCTCAGATCCCTGAAAGTGAAAGCGAGGGTGTGAATACATTCGCAATTTCCAACATCCCACGCAAGCGATAAGAAAGAGAAGAAAAGGATATCATGTAATCAGACCCGAACACTCATACGTATATCCGCAACATCTCAAGGCTTCACACAAGCAACCATGAGCTTCTCGTAGTCGCCGCGCGTCTCTCCTTCTATCCTCTTGACCAAGTCCTTCTTGTAGACCTGCTTGTACGCGTTGCTGACGGCGTTCATAAAGTTCTTGTCCCAGTGGCAGCGGACAACGCGTTGTACGAGGATCTCGTCCTTGGTGCCCAGACCAGCCATCGATTCCTCTAGACGAACGGCTTCAGCCTCGGGCCGGTTGGTGGCACGGTGGATAAGTAGGCGGAGTGCATCTTCCATGTGGCCTGAGAAAGCGGACTTGATCACGCTGTCGAGGGACTTGTGGAAGCGCTGTTGGTAAGAGTTCGCCATGGCTTTGAGCTGCGCGTCGTTTTTGCTGGTGAGGATCTGGCACACTTGAGGAACGTTCTTGCTAGCAAAGCCACCCATGCCGGCTTGAAGATCGGTGACAGCCTGCTCGATTTCTTGAGGGTTGACCGGGTATGAGTCTTCTGCGCGGCGGGCCGAGATGATCATGTCGTACATTTGTTCGGTTCCGGCACTGAGGTCGCCCTGGAGGTCTTTCTGTAGCGGCCGTTGGAATAGTTCTTGGTACTTCTGCTTGATGGCGTTGATGTCGGCGTTGCTTCGGCCGATAAGGATGTCGTCCAAGATGACCTCCTTCGTGCCCATGCCCTTCATCGCTTCCATGAGGTTGTAACAGTCGGATACTAGAGGGCCGCGTGCAATTTCGACAAGTCCTTTCGCGAAATAGCCGCTGGTCTCTTTCTCAAGATCTTGGACCATGTTTCGCATCAGGCGCTGGTCGTATTGCGCCCGAATGGTGTTGACCTGGATAGGATCCCTCTTCGCCAAAACCGCGATGAGCGCCTTTTCGTCAGTTCCGAATCCCTTCATTGCTTTACGGACAGCTTCAACATCTTTGCTGACGTCGATGTTGGCTACCTGCATGGGGCCATAACCGAGGGAAGCCTGAGTTGGTGGCCCGCCGAAACCCCCTGGCGCCCCGAACTGGCCTTGGGGAGGTGGAGCACCGAATTGACCCTGAGGTGGGGGCGCACCGTATTGCCCTTGGGGTGGTTGCTGCCCAAACTGGCCTGGCGGAGGACCGGGTGGTGGTTGATACTGTCCTTGGGGCGGTTGTTGGCCGTATTGGCCTGGAGGTGGCGCGCCATACTGTCCTGGAGGTGGTTGCTGTCCATATTGACCAGGAGGTGGCTGTTGTTGATATTGCCCAGGTGCGCCATAACCCTGTTGTGGGGGAGGAGCTCCGTACTGGCCCTGAGGTGGACCGCCGTACTGATTTGGCGGCGGCGCACCATATTGACCTTGCGGTGGTTGCTGACCATAACCTTGTTGAGGCGGGTAGCCTCCGTACTGTTGGTTCTGCATTGGTGGCGGTTGTTGATAGCCTTGCTGTGGAGGTGGTTGATACTGTTGATGTTGACCGTAGCCTTGTGGCGGCGGGGCTTCTGTAAGATATTAGTACAAGATCAGGCTTCAGCGCCAAGTGTTGTAAGCCATGGAGGATGCAATGATCGCCGGGCTGTGAAGAGAGGGCCTCAACTTACGGCCCGGATACGGCTGCTGATAACCGCCTGGTTGGTTGTAGTTGTAGGACATGTTCAGCTGTAATTTAGGCAGGGTAATACAGGAACAAGCTCTAGAAGTAGGTAAGACCGACGTGCGACTCTGATAATAAGGCAGGTGGTATGGAAAAGAAGAGGGGGAAATACCGACTGCCTGCTAAAGAGTGGTTTGCACCAAAGGTTGCCGTGGCTGAGTCGTATCGCTCAGCCCTGCCAGTGGTGGGGTAGGGTCAAGAATTAGTCTGGCTCATGACGAAGAATCTGGCTTGGCATGGTCAGCCATCGGGTTTAGTGGCGTGGTATGCGAACACCTTCTGCCGCGTGGTTGGTACGGTGGGTAAGGCGGCCACTGCCCAACGCTAATCCGATGCTTAATCGGGTCGTTGCCTGTGGCGATGCACGCTCAGAAGACATATCGCAAGAGCACAGCCTCAGGGTCGTAACCATGCGCGAATGAATCTGCACTAGATTGTGGCTACATTGCAACGATGATATATTCGAGATAAGGTTGTGGCGTAGCTGCGATGATTTATAAAGGACTCATTCCGCGAAAACAGTTTACGTACGCTGCGCCTTGGCAAGTCACTTGGACCTCACGATCTATGTTCGCATGGAGAACAGCGTCATGCAGTATCTGTGGTACGCGTCTGTCCGCATCATAATGATCGCGCAAAAGTCCGCGTCAACTTGGGGGCTCTCTTTCGCACGAAATGCTGCATCATACCGCCATTCAAGAATCGTCTATGTTTTGTAACTCGTGCATATCACGAAGACAAATGATAGATGATGCGATAATGTGCGATGGCCCCTCGGCCGCTGGCGCTGTGCCAAGCTTATGTCACAATCCCAAGCTTCGAAAAGATCGGCAATCCTCTCTCCTCTCCACCAACTACATCTGTTTACTGCACACCATCCTAGATCACTAACGCCAGGCACCCCAACGTTAATCCCAACCCGCCGGTGAACTTTCGGCCAAGACACTGACATCATAGCATGCGGCGCACGTAGCCCCTCATGTTTTCGCCGTCGATTGCGCATCACGAGTATGCCTTGGCAGTCGGAAGCGATCTTGGGTGAGCACTAATTGGTCAGGAGCACCCATTGAACACTTTAGTTCACCGGGGAAGATTTAGCACGTGCAGGTCGACATAAAAATCGGGGTGAGAAGAGGACCGATGGAGGCGTACGATGGAAGTATAATAGAGCCAAGCCAGCGATCAATTTCTGGAGGACATTGACATAAATTGGGTGTGTTAGAACGATTGATTCGAGCTGCGACCAACTTCTTTAAGACAACCAACTTACCCGACATCACCCCGAATTCTATGATAGACGGGACATAGCCAGCCGCATACGCCATCCAGCATCGCCGATCACCAACCCTGAAACAGGGCACTTCCCGCGAGGCTACACTCAAGCATATCGCGTATAGGAAAGCCAGAGATATAAACGAGAGCAGAGCCGGTGCATGAAACAGTCGCCCTATCAGCCCGTCTACCATCGACCAAACACCACCATGTCGTCTTACGACTCTGCCAGATCGGGATACCAGCCCCATGCGCAATACGCACAGCAACAACCACCCTATCCCACCACACCGGGAGCACCACAACCACAGCAACCAACAAACTATTTCCCACCGATCCCCGAACAACAACCCATCTACTCCTCCTCACCAACATCGCCCTACAACGGCGGCGCAATGACCTCAATGCCACAACCACACATGCCAACCCACCGCCGCACCTCCTCCTCCTCATCCTACAACAGCCAACGTCCCACACACCTCCAACCCACGCCCTCTCAAGCAATCCCAATCCGCCAACCAGAACCCCACTCCTACCAATACCAACAACCCACCCATCTAGCCCCAGCCTCGTACCCTCCACCCGTCGCCTACGCGCCGCAAGCCGCGCCCATCTACGCGCGCTCTTCGTCGCAGCAAAGCCACTACTCGCACCACAGCACGCACGCACACAATGCGCATGCCTATGCGGACGGAGAGGACAAGTACGAGGACGAGCATCATAGACATCATGATCAGCATTATGGGGAGCTGGATCCGGAGACGGAGAGGGAGTATAAGAGGAGGTATGCGCGGGAGAAGGAGGTGGAGAGGAGGCCGACGTTGGGTGGCAGTGTACTGAGCATGATCGGGAAAGTCGGAGGGCTGCTTGGGAGCGATAGGCGATGATGCTCAAGGGCCGTGGTGTGAGCGGATGTTGATGGTTTGGAAGTGATACCCCATGGATGTTTCCTTGTCTTGTTGCTTCGGTGTTCATTGTACGATAGTGGAAAGCGCCAGATTGGCGCTATGATATGACGAATTAACTCTTGGATGATTGATTGAAGTAATTGATCTCGAATTCGTCGTGCAATATGTATAAAGGTAGTGCTGCTGAAATCCCTATAAACGCCTCTCGCTGATAGAGAGGAAGAAACGCTGTCGGACGCCAAGTAGTAATGCAGCCGATGAAACGTCAAAACAGAAACTTTTCGTACTTCAGCGCTTGAAGCCGATATGGAAGTGTTGGCCCTGCCCAACAAGTTTTTCGTGCCCATGTTCTCGCCACTTTCCTTACCAACATCGAGGTGGCAGATAGGTTGCGATACTGACGCCCCAGCTGCAGCTTGCTGCTGAGCGTGTACGCAAGCCGGTGGCTTGTAAACCTCCGAGAATGTGTTACCTCGGACGCGACACGGCATTATCCGGCCCGTCGCGTCGCCTTCTGCCGTCCATTCCTTTCCCGACCCGGTGTAATATGCACTGTATGCGTATACGATTATGTAGTTGGCGAGCTCGGTACAGACGATTCGTAGTCGTGATTCGTTCAGCTGAAGGTCTCGCCAATGTGACGCTCGCTTTCGGGTTTCCAGGTGCCTGTTACTAGTCAGTATTGAGGAAACCAGGGACTCGAGACGGGTGTAATGGAAGGATGCTCGCGGCCCGACGTATCGTTCCGCGTGGTACTGTGCAGCGTAGCACGGCACTCACAAGGCGCGATAAGAAAAGATTGTCACGTACCTTCAAAGTTGTGCTTGACATAAGCCATTGGGTCGTCATCCTCGCCAGCGCCCATAGTCTTAATGCCGGGGCTGAAACTGGTGATAGGCAGCACAATGACGTCGCCGACCTTCTTGGGCGCCTTCATGCCAGTGAAGTTCTCCCATGTAATGTTGCCCTTGCTCGTGCTCATGTCAAAGTAGTCGGGGTTGTTGAAGTAGTTGAAGATGGTATCGGTCCAGACGGCGGGCCCAGTGAACTCGATTATGCCCTTGTAGTCCTTGCTGAGTTTGCCGGCGCGCTTGCGGTCAAGTGTCTCCTGTGTGATGTTTGCGACAACATCGACGAGAACAGGGTGGCCAGGCTTAGACTGGATGGTCCACTGGCAGAACTGGACACGCCGAGAGTACCACTGAGCCCAGTCTGGACGATCTGGGTCAGCCTCAATGCCAATGACCATTCCGTAGCTGTTTGCGGGCACATCAGAAGGTATCCAGTCTGACGCGGGCTTCAGTGCCGAAGTGTCAATATCCGAGTAGATGCCGCCACGAGCTAGAAGGATCAGGTAGCGGAAGAAGTCGGCTTTTAGGACGGGTACGGGGAGGGCATTGTAGGCTTCGATAACCTCGGGGACAGAGGAGTAGAGGTGTCTGATCAGGTGCACTGCGACGTCGTCGGTGATGACCTCGTGGACGAAAGAAGGGTGGTGTATGCTCCAGCTGGCTTCTGGCTCGCGGAACATCTCGTCAAACTGACCCTGCGCCGGTGTGTACTTCCACGTCTGCCAAATGTATGCGGGTGTCTTCGCGTCGACGTCGTAGGGGAACTGGTACTCGAGCTGGTCCTTGAGCGGGCGCTCTCTCAGCTCGTCCATGCTGACCTGGGTTTTGGGCTTCTTGCGCGCGGGCGCATCGGGAGTGTCAAAGGTCTTGTCTGCCTTTTCGGTCGCCTTTTGCGCCTCTTTCGACTGCTGCTCCTTGGCCTTTGTGCGTTCTCTGTCTGCCGGGTTCACCCAGGCAGTGGGCCGAGGCATTTCCTTTGCATTGCGGAAGTTGGGGGTTGTGCTACCGTGGTGCTGCGACTTGAAGATGAAGAATAGCGTTAGGCAAGCCAGGGAAAGCACGAGGGCCTTCTTGAAGGTAAGCATGGTGGCGGGCGCGGTTGAAGAGCCAGGCGAATAATGAGGAGGGGCGTCCTCGGTGGTGGAAACGGCGGGCACAGGTGGAACTCGATAGGGCCTAGGTGGGAAGATATACTATCAAAGCAGACGCCCTGGCTGGGTTTGGGGGTACAGAGGGAAAGCCGGCTCGCTGCTTCGGGCAGTCTTGACCTGGCGGGTGAAAGGGCTAGTGGTTGCGGTCGTGAGAAGGAAATGAGAGGTGGGACGCGCAATTCACGGACACGAGGGAAGAACGAACGACATGGAGAACGGTGAAAGGCGTAGAGGCTACTGAGAGCATGGGCGGCGGCGGCGATACCACGGGCTTTTTGAAAGAACCTCCAAAGGGCCAAAGCCAAGCAGGGGGTCTGCGAGTTTCACGTTCGCAGGCGCGCTAAGAGACTAGCGTGCCTGTCGCCGGCGAATGTTCCATGGCCGACTCAACATCGCGGCAAAGCTTGTTCCAAATCAGTTGGCGCACCGAGTCGCCTGTAGGAATAACCCTGGTTGAATTACGACGCTGGGACGATCTCTCACGCATTTCCCACGCCTCTCGTGCATGCCGGGTGGAGAGCCTGGTAATGACAGGTATACAGTCCCCCCCCTAGTACAGGTGCCTAGTGCGGTTTCTAAGATAGATAGCTAGTAAGATAAGGTAATAATATAAAACACTATATTAAAAAAAAGTAACTCTTAACTACTTTTAGAAGCTACTAAAGACGCCTTAAAGCTATATAAGAGTATTATAATAGATAGAGTAGCCTCTAGAATATAGGTTAATTACTAAGTATTAAAAAGTAGCTAGTTTAAGCTATTTTAGAAGCTTTAAGTATAGTAAAAAGCTTTAAAACTTATAGTTTTTAGATATTAT